ATGCTACAGAACACACTAACGTCTGGAGACTTGAAGAATTGATATTAAGAAAGCAGTACCTGCCGGCAGGCCCTAAAAAGTGTGCCACAGTAGACTCCAGAATCCTATGCTAGCTACTGAGGAACCGCATTTCAATGCCGATGCCATCGGGTACATCAGTAGTGGTGGTCATGCTGTGAGAAGCACTAATGTGCTGTTCACTCCAAGACCTGGGTCGGGGTCTAGACTTTCCCTTCGGAGCCCCGCGACGCAGGGCGGTGAGCTGGGCCATGCCCTGTCGAGGTGGGCCTGGGGTTCTTCTTTCTTCACGACGTGTGGAGAGAGAGAGAGAGATCCCCTACACCCTAACCCTGGCGAAAGAAAGAGAGAGAGAGAGAGAGCGAGCATAACAAAACATGCGGGTGGGCTTGAAGCCCGGGGGTCCTGACCGACCCCGCCTATGCCCGGGAGAGAGAGAGAGAGAGATAGATAGATAGATATATATATATATATATAATATTTTTTAGGGTGAGGCGGACACGGTATAAGATGTTGCCTTACTTTCGAAGTCGATCTGGGCATTGAAGTCTGATGCAGTGCTTCCGAACCGGTATCAGAGCACAAGTCATCGAAGTCACGAGAAGTGCCGTGACAATCCTGAAGCCATTCAGAAACTTGCATCCCTCAGGTGTAGCTTCAGACTTCAGCTGTCTTAAAGCCGCCAAGCTTTTTTTTTTGCTCCTCGTAAGCCCTAAACCGTAAACCCTATAAACCCTAAACCGTAAACCCGCAGAGTTGCGAGAGCGTAAACCTGTAAGTCCGCAGCCCTAAACCATAAGTATGATGCTGCAATGATGCTCAAGGTCCTACTGGTCTGTTGTTGCTTTACATTGTAGGATCTTGGGTGGGTGCAGTCTTGCAGAATACAGTTACTTTATTGTTCTGAGCTTCGGTTGTTGATGCCCGTCATTGACTGCCACCCGTAGAGTGTTTCACATTCGCAGACTCCGAACCATTTGCCTCGCCTGGATTGTCCGAGTCTGAGCGCCGAAACCAAGTTTATGGCCAAGGTATGGGCTGCCCAGCCTGCATCCCGAGAATGGCTCCCGCAACGGAACGAAAGGCCCCGACAGCGCCGTGTGTTTTGTCCTTTGCGGGGCCTTTGCCTCGTAATTCCGGGTTCCCTATACTACATCAAATTACGTGATTATACTACACTATGCTACACTTTACTATACTGTACTATTATTATGCTATATTATATCATACGAAAATAAACTAGACTATGCTATATTATATTGAGCTATAGGCTAGACTGGACTATACAATACCTTACTACTACACTGCACGATACCTATAACACTATTCGACATACTCTTTGCATACCGTACTATACTATAACGCACTATGCTTCCCATGGTCAGACTCTCCGGCACAAGTGGTCAGCGCCAACGACCTGACCGTGGTTGTGGGCAACGTGAACGAGGCTGCGAATGTTCTGAAGGCCGGGCGCCCATGTCCCCTTCCGGGCTATGGGCTTCGTATTCCAGCTCTGTTCAAGCTCAGGGAGGCCTTCTACGAAAGGGGACAGTGCAGGAAGCTGCGGATAGAAGGAAACTTAAGGCACCAAACCACCAACCTGAACCGAGCCCAGGTAACAACACATCTGCCACAGCAGCACCCGATTGTCATCCTTATCAAAATATTTGGTTACTTCAAGTCGAACTCATCTCATCTCGAAGACCCCCCGGCCCAAAACACGAAGTCACTGAAGATTACCCTGATGTCGATATCTGTCAATGTTTTCCTCCGTATCCTCTTTAGACCTTGAGTATGAGGGACCTAGGATATCATTCGTGATATGCGTACACATAGTGAAGGTTCGACCAAGTTCAACAAGCTTCCAGGAGCCAACCCGGTCGCCCTCGCGGACTCGGCGCACGTGCCCTTGCTGCAAAAGGCCGTCAGGAATCCGCCCAGCAATTTATAGGGATCTTAATTAAAAATTTGTAGAATTAGGGGTTGGGGGTTCCTTAATATTTCTATTCCCTACATAGGCGTAGAACCTCGGGCCACACCTGGTGCCTTGAGGCCTGGATGCATCGTGGTGTGCCCATGTGGGTCTCCTATTTGATCGGGCCGGGCCCTTGCGGCTCTGAGCGCAGGGAATGAGGAAGGACGGACCGGGGTGGAGCTTCTGGGTTCAAGCTAAGGAGTTACTATAGATCCCTGTGATGTTAACTGAAATTAAGTTCCTTAGCGAGGGTTCAAGCTAAGGAGTTATAGATCCCTATGATGTTAATTGAAATCAAGTGCCTTCTCAGCGAGAACCCAGGCTTTGGGATGCAGATTTGAGTGCCTGTTGGGGTTCAGATGCAGGGTTGGGGGCCTTAGACCCCGGCCCCGAAAGACCCTTTGGCAAACACCTGGAGACCTAAAATCGTAGAATCCCAGAGCAAGGCGCTCTGAGCGTTTGTAGGGCTTTGCGCATGGGAGCTTTTAGTAAAGCACACCTACCTTCATTGCAACCTCATGGTATTTTGGGTTTAGTTTTGCTGGCCGAGCAGTTGGGAAAGCCATCAACCTGTGACGGTGGACATCCACAATGGGAGTCTGGAGTTGAGTTTGGGGTAGTGGCCCCTTACAGTCCCCATGTAGCTATACCATAAGATATCCGTCAGCCCTGAACCTTTCTCCGGCAGGAACCTGTGGGTGTTTGCAGCGGAAGTCGCAGTTGCTTGAGGCAGTGCGCCGGCTGCAGCAAGGCCTAGCAAGGTGGACAGTTCGTGTCGCTGTCAGCTCGAGGTGAGCAAGTGTAGGGTGGGGCTCGGACTTTTGAAGTCGAACTAGAACCATATTTCTAAGATCGGTTCAGATCTTGATACAAAGAGAGGATGAGACGAGCCTTGCTCCAGTTCTTCGAACATCGAGGCACCTAGGTGCTGTTGCACTTGTGGGTTCAGAGGGCCAAAGCCCCTCGTCCCTGGGCTGGTTAAGCAGCAAGCTAGGGGGAACAGGAGCTTCGGTTCAGGTTTGGAGAGCCTTTCAGGTCCAGAGCCTGTGAGCTTCTGGGGTCTAGACTAGACTTCCGGAGTTCTTCCCGAAGTAGGGTCAGTCCCAAGCGTTGCGAAGCCAGCCCAGTTTCGCAGCTCACAGAAAGCCTGGAAATGCCATGGATTCTCCAACTTGCAACCGGCACGGCGCCTTGGATGTAGTGCAGAATAGTCTGAAGCTTGGAATTCAGTCCGTGTGGAGGCCCGTATGCAATCTTCGTCAAGGAGTAGACACCCTACCGTTGTGCCTAGAAGACAGCAGCCAAAGCACAGCCATGGGCCCTGGCACTTGCTTTAACCAGACCTGCCCAAGAGGAATTCTTATCGTCTTTGGCAGTTTATTTCGCTTGAAGCTTTAGGCAAGAAAGTACAACACCAAGACGCGATAGGCAAGAGGCGAGAGGCAAAAGCCTGAACAATTTGGTTTGAAAGCAGCAGACGGAGTCTGCTTGCGTTGGCCGTCCGGTCGAGATCGCGCCGTGTTTTCGCGGGTTCGACAGGCGAGACTACATAGTTCCAGGACATGTTTGCTTCAGTTGAAAACAAGTAAGGGGCTCTGGGCATCTCGCGGGTTTCCCGATCACGCACAGTCTTCTAACCAGACATGTTGAAGAGAAGTTCTTCAGATCTTCTGTCTGAGCTTACAGCAACTGCCCTCGACATCGCGGACAGCGGCGAGCATACCGCAGCACACCATGATTCTGAAGCAAGGAGCTTGGACTACCGTAAGTCTAAGTCAGATGGAGAGTCGATCCCGTGGCGTGGACTCGTAAAGTTTTGCTGGAGGTGCCGCAAGCTTTGCAGCTAGCATGGAGGCAGCCCCCTTCCAGACACCACCTGCATGTACTGAACAACCCTCCCGAGGAGGGATAGAGCTTGGTGAGGCGAAGGGTTTTCGTCATGCCACATTGACTTTATAGTATAGTAGACAGAGCCCAATCACCGCATGCCCTGCTGCCCAGTGCACTTTTGTATGTTGAGCTTGCCGTCGAAATGACCACACCTCCTGAACGCCAGCTGGTGGTGGAGTGAGAAGTCTTGGTAACCCCTGAATGCCGGAGCTATCCCGACGGTGAACCCTTCAAGAGTACTTGACAGATGTTCTGCCCTAGGTATGACTGCAGCGCATGTTCATTATTTTCCAAGCTGTCGGAGTCTGAACCCCAAACTGAACACCCACATAGATCTGAGCCTCTGACCGGCACGGAGGGGCTTGTTTGACGTGTAGTGTTTCTCTTGGGAGGGCATTGAGGTCCCTGTGGAAGCATTTTCTCATCTCGTTGTCTTCAACACCAGCCAGTCTTTCCAGCTCGTGTCCTTTAGAGCCTTCCCTGAACCTGGCGAAGCCAGTCCAAGGGAAGGTAGGAAAGTCGTGGCCCACTGGACAGCTGCCCCGAAAGGCGTCACAACAGAACAGATTAGGTGAGGAGCTGTTCGATACTCGGGTGTTCCGCTGCTTTACGTACATGTCCAGCGCATCCTATTGGTGCCTAGGCCCAAAAGCTCAGTGCGATTCAACCGGGGTTGTTTCATCTAATCTAGACATCAACTCGTCTCCCGCTACCTGTTGTCTAGTACTTGCGCTCTGTTTGGGAAAGATCAGATAACCAAAGCCTGGTGGTTGAGTTGAGTCCGTACACATAGTTGAATAGCAGGAGCCTGGCTTCTTACAAGCAGTACTGTTTAGTGATGCGGTCCATGATCATGGTCCATTCCTAGACATACATACATATACATATTTACACACATAAACACACATACAAACCTGCATACAGACATGTACAAAACTACACCCACACACATACACCCGTGTGGGTCGTAGACTATGACCGTCAAATCCAGTTAGCGCCCTGTACATGCCCGTGCCGTGAAAACCGGCTATCTTATCTGGCTGCGTGGACGACTTGAGACAGCTCGAGGGTGGCAAGCTGCCTGTGAAGCCACTGGAAGCACTGTCAGGATCGCAGAGCCAATTTGGTCTTCGTACTATACCATGAAGCTATGCAGCCTTCTTTGCTGACGACATTATCCCGAGGCTGGGTTCGTAAGTCTTGGACCCCAAGTTCCGAGCTGACCTTCCCAAGGCTTGAATCCCCCGGCATCAGAACGTTGCCAACAAACTGACTGTTCTCCAGGTGTTCTGCGATTTGCAATTTTTAGCTCGGGCGCAAAGATGACGCTCCTGGCGAAGAAGGGTTCCTCCAAAAGTCAGGTCTTCCTTAGGCTTTAGAGCTCTAGACCCCAGGATCTAGGGATGTTTTTCTTGTGCAGGATGAGTTTGAGCAGGATAAGTGGTAGCTTTTTGAGGTCTGCCCTCGGAGCTCGGCCCCGAAGCCCACATCAGGAGATGACTCAGACCGTCATGTCGCGGTAATATGATCTGTATATGTAGTGCATGTGTAGTATAAACAGTTGTGTGAACCACGTACACCGCTTTTAAACACAGCCACTAGGCCAATATCCCTATGCAATGTTGTGCTGGTGTGCTAGTACTCGTGCATGGTCTCTTGTGCAGTGCTGTCTGTATAGTTGTCGGGGTTTGGGAGGGGTTTGGGTACGAGGCCAACAACGACCATGCTTTTACAGCCTGCGTGGCTTGTTTATGCTTGTCTTCTGCTGCATGTTGCTTCTCATTGTCGCATGTTGTGCCCGTTGCATTGAGTAGGCCTTCCTCCGTAGCGTTTCCATGTTTCACACTGCCCTGTCCCCGTCTACGCTCCGACTGCCGGCCAAAACGGCCCACACCATGCAACAGGCTTCATTCGCGCGCCGCCAGCAACGCCAGGCTCATGTCATGGTAACTCGTGCCGAGCAACAGGGCACTTGGAGTCTCAGAATTGTTCGATATGTCAATCGTAGAAGTTGAGCTGCGAGGGAAAGATATGGTGGCAAGGAACAATGGTCGAGTGCATGTCGAAGGTTCATAAGTTGGACAAGTGTACTTTCGCGGTCGCCGCCATGGCCAGTGTGGCGCATGGCTTTGTGGAGTTTGCGCTCTCTCAGGAGGTGTGTCGCCATGTTACACTCGCCTCTGCAGCTGCAGCTCTGCTGTCGATTCGATGATGCTAGATACGTCCATGATGGTAGGGTGCAATTGTAGACGATGGCGGCCTTACTTTCCCGGTAGCTGCTGGAGCAGGCCCAGGAGTGAGGCTCAGGTTCACAACCAGCAGAATGCTAAACTGCTAAACTCCTCGACCGTAATCAACCCTTGCCATGAGCCGTAGGCCTCATTGAGGCTTTGTGCCCTTAATCTCGTTTTGTAGGCGTCGACAGTGCCACCAACTCGGGATCGGTGCCCCTACCCAGCCAATGCAGTAACAGCCTGAGTTCGATGTTTTCGCACCGGAGCCCTGCTTGAAATTGTTGATCCCTTTTCGCTGTCCCGATGGTGGCTGCGCAGTGTCACTGCTGTGGTAGATTCGATCCAGGACGAGTCATGAGTCATGAGTCAGGCAACCTTCAAACAGGCCCGTAAGCCTACCGACAGCCCCAGCAGCATGTCATAAGCAGTGTGCAGTGCACTACATAATTACACAATCAAGTCAAGCTTCGAAGTGAAGTCATAGGCTTCGAACAGGAGTGCACTGCACGCACTACAATGGCGGCAGTAGCACCGCAGGCAGGGACGCAGGAGCCCCTGCTGCCCGATGGGCAGCGCTCCGGGCAACAAAGCTCCGGAGATGCAAGCTGCTTGGTCATCCCCCTGGTGGTGGTGCTTCTTTTCCTTATTGCTCGACGTTCGGAGACAGCGTGCCACCCGGAAGACCTACAGCATGCGAAGCCTCCTTACGGTGGCAACTTGCTTCCTTCCTACTTCATCCTGTCACAGCACCTGAACCTCAGCCGAGCTGACACGATCGTCAATGTCTATGACAAGGATTGGGTCAGTCTTGGGCATTTCTACCACGACACCTACGGGCATTTTGGATACTCGGACCCGTCTAACCGGATCTGGTTTGAAGCACGACATCCCATGTTGAATAACATGTTCTCGTCACTTCCCAAGCAATACAGCCTGCAGCGGTGTGACGTTGACTTTGGTGGACAGCAGGGTGGGATGTTTGATGTGAGTGAGGACAAAGTTCACGAAAGCTGGCTTTGTGAGTTCAAGAAGGGTTGCTTTGCCAACGTCTACAACGTCACAGGACAGCCTGCGAGTCCGAGCGCCAACATGCAAGGCGATGTGCTCCATGTGGCCAATGCAATCTTCGGTTTCGATTACTTGAAGAACGTGACGCTGGGAAGCTCCCAGTTCTACAGGTGGCGTACTCAATGGTACCTGAACATTGTCGACCCGACGGATGGCTCCATCGTCGCCCACGCGAAGCAGCACGTGTTCTCGGATGACGATTTCGTCACCTTGTCCTTGTCAAACTGGACGGTGCAAATCTCAGAGTCCTCGCGACTGCCAAATTGGGTTGTCGGCTTCCTGGCCGCCTTTAATGACGTGCATCCGCAAGACAGTTTTGGTATGCCTGGAGCCTACGGCAGGAGGAGGAGGGGTTTGGTATATTAATTGGCTCAGTGAGCGACCTTGGAAAGGTCGGCAGAGAGGGGTTTCTGGGTGCACGGGGTCGCACGACTTCAGAGATTGCAAGGCTCTGAGCAAAAGTGCCTGAAGAGTTGCGCAGTCGACCTGGGAAAGTTGTCTGAGTGGATGCCCGCCAACCCCCAAGTGCAGACAGGTGCTGCTGTTGCTGCTGCTGCTGTTGCTGCTGCTGCTACTACTACTACTACTACTACTACTGCTGCTACTGCTACTGCTACTGCCACTGCTACTCCGACGACGACTACATACTGCATACTACATACTACATACTACATACTACATACTACATACTACATACTACCTACTACCTACTACCTACTACCTACTACCTACTACCTACTACCTACTACCTACTACCTACTACCTACTACTACTACTACTACTACTACTACTACTACTACTACTACTACTACTACTACTACTTACTACTACTACTACTACTACTACTACTACTACTACTACTACTACTACTACTACTACTACTACTACTACTACTACTACTACTACTAACGACTACTACTTACTACTACTACTACTACTACTACTACTACTACTACTACTACTACTACTACTACTACTACTACTACTACTACTACTACTACTACTCTACGACTACTACTACTACTACTACTACTACTACTACTACTACTACTACTACTACTACTACTACTACTACTACGACGAGTCAACGTGTCCTGGAAATCGAGGGTCTCATCTCAGCAACTGCCCTTCCGGAGTCTACTCCCCCTTCGATCCGTTTGGCAGGTGCTCCGCTTCGGCACTTTTACGCTGAAGTCGGGTCGGACACTGCCGGAAGCTGGGGTTCAGGGATTAGGGCAGAAAGGGCTATGACCTTGGTTCAGAAGCTTAAATAGAACAAGCCTCAAACCACTGTTTGAGGCATTTTCTGTCTTTTCAAGCTTTCCGACGGACACACAAGACTGACTAGGTGACGAGCCTTCCTGGTATTCAGGGATTGGGACACGATGTCGATTGCTCCAGGGGATCTTCGCCTACTCGGGGGAGGGGGGGGGCCTTCACGGGCCTTCCAGCCAAAGGCGATGTGGCGCTTTTTCCAGACTTCTACTGTAGCTCACCAACTTGTCAGACGCGCGTTGGCTAGGGAGGATGGCCGGGGGCACGGGTTTAGACTTTCCCGTCCTGGGCTCCAGAATTGCCACAGCTGCTGCGGGCTGTTGAGGGCCTTGCTTCACAGCCTCGAGGCCCGAAGCCCAATTTTGCAACAATGACCTTAAACCACTACCTTAGGGTTTAGGGTTTAGGCCAGTTGCAAAAGGTAATAACCTTAGGCCCTAAAGCGCGAGGACCTCGCCATACTTCTTCAACGCCGGACTCTTCACGACCGGTGAAGCCTTGGCAAGGCCTGGGGCTGTAGAGTACAGAGATGTCGGGCTGAGCTGCATGGAGGGCGGCTTTTGGGTTGCGGCTTCGGCTTGTGTCTGGCTTCAGAAAGGGTTGTAGGTTTTAGGTAGTTCCCAGCAGAGGCTTTTCAGGCTTTATGCAAAAAGAGTTCCAGTCTATACTTCTTGGCATACATCCAGGTTCACAAAGTGTTCAGCCCGCACAACATCTAAACCCACGACCTTCCAATCCTAACACCATCTAACACCTTGCTTGCTGAACCCATTTCGAAGGAACCCGAACGGAAAGGAGCTTTTGATACCGACGCCAGAGAACGCAGACTACCCAACTTCGAGCAAACTTCCACACAGGTTGGGCGAGTTCTACGCTGATGCGATCGTCGCATCTGGGGTAGAGCCGGCACCCTATTCGACCCAGCGTTTCGGACTGGCTCGCTCAAGGTTTAGAGTCCGGGTGCAGGGATTTTGTGCGGCGTTGTGCTTGGGCAGGCTTGGTGGGCTGAAACCATTCCTGAATGAAGTTTGGCTTTTGTGTGTGTGTGTGTGTGTGCGCAACATGTGCAAATGTGTTGCATTACCGCCGATACTTGCCACTCAAGCCAAATTTGCTCGGGAAGACTTCCGAGAAAGTATACCTGCAAGCCGGGAGTCTTTGTTCTTCTCCAGGGCTTTGCCCTCCCTAGAATTTTCCCATACCGGAGGAGCGAGTATTGCAGGTGTACACCTTGTGAGGGCTCCCTAGTTGCGGAGTGGCATTATTTCATGCCGGGCGTCTGCGTCGAGCGGTTCGGGGGTACAGCGGACAAGTATACCCTTCGAGTTCCCGGTTCGCGGGATCTGCGGATAGCCGAGTTCGGCGTTTGCAGACCTCGGGTTGAAGTTGCCAGTGAATTATGGGCTCAGTCCCATGAAAGGGGAAAGGATCCGAGTGCATTGCATGAGTTTGAGTAGTTAAGTTGAAAGTTATAATGTTTTAAATTCTTGGTAGCATGAGGTCATGCGTTGCTCGATGATGGAGTATGAGTATGCTGGCACTCGTAGCTAACACGTCCAGTCTTGTGCCAGAATGACTGGAACACCAGCCCGCCCCTTGCAAGCTTCGTCGGGAATGAGCTGTTTGTTTGGAAGTTGGAAACAGTTGGTGTATTGGATGTAATGTTGAGGGTTTGTTTGGTCCGCTGCGCCAGTCCGAAAATTTGCCGGCCTCCATGTTCCAACGGCGAATGCTCAGACCGAGTCCTCGGGTAATTGTCGGGCGCCTGCTTGTGTACTAGACACTGGCCAGTTTACTTGCAGCTGGACTTCGGTGTCGGGCAGAAAGGCCACGCTGTAAGCCGCTGACTACTTTAAGAGAGGTCGATGCATCTGACTGCAGGCACCTCCTTCTACTTTATGTGGTCACAGGGTTGGTTGGGGCCGCCAGGCCATGGCTTTTGTGAAACGCTGTCCCCTAGAGCATGTGCGAACGTCAAGGTGATGATGGTGATGCTGGTGGTGGCGCCGGTGGCGCATGCTGCTGCTGACGATGGCGACGATGAGCGTGATCGTTGCTCATGTTAGTTATCTGTAAAGAACCATTTCGCCAAGGTTTGACTGCATCTTCGGCCCTGCCTACAAAGGCATCACGCTAGCAGCCGCGCAGCCTGGCAGCTGAAATCAGCAGGGACTTGAACATCATAGAACCCCTATGACGCCTGTATACCGCAATGCAGGGATATGACACCGTATTCAAGGCTACCTGTCGTCGTCGGGGCGTCGGGCCGAAGTGTCGCTTGCCGAGACCCCAAATGTGGCAATTCTGCCGCCCGCCACCGCCACCGTCACCACCATCCGCCACCCACCACTCACCACCCGCCACCGCCACGGCCAGTGCCACCCCTGCCACGACGATTGCTACGACCACTACATACTACGCCTCCTGGAGTCAAGACAGAGAGCCCGTGCTAGTAAATCTTTTTCGCCCTACCAGCACTCAGGAGATGGCCAGCAAGGCCAAAGTGGAGGTATGGAGGTAGGCCGTAGGCCCAAAGGGACGCGATTTCGGGGCGAACATACCGCAGCGAGACAGATAGATTCAGATAGACAGCAACTAAGATGAAGCCGCAGTGTAAACTGCAAGTAAGCATGATTGCAGCTCAGGATAGCCATCGCCCTGTACAAGAACCATGGCCGCGTGTTGGCATATTGGCACTGGTGACTGGGGTGTTCGGGATGGTGTCAGGCAGTATGGGCTCCAATAGCACTTGTGATGCTGCAGAACGGCGAGGGAGGAACAGGAGGAATATTCAGGCGACCATTGTCGAGTCTTCCCAGTGTGGAGGTGGTTTGTCGTTTGTTAGTGCTTCCGCCGCTGCCACCCGCTTTTGCGTAGCAGCTCTCGATACCTTCCGAGGCCGCAGCGTGCCTTACGCATACAACCGCAAGGAGGCCAAGGCGGGATTCGAAGTCTTTCTGCTCACGGCAGCCTCGGTCGCCTAAGCCCCGCATCCCGACCCGAGAGCCTTCAGGCCATAGACAAGCTTTGCAAGGCTGCCTCTTCCATGTCGAGAGGTTTGGGGGAAAACGGTGGTTCATGGCTTTCGAGCTTGGGATCTTGGTTTGGGATAAGGCAGCGAGGGCAATCCTTTTAATTTCATTTCGTTTTAAAAGCCCTGCGGAGTTCTTAACCAGAATCCCTTCACTGTAGAGGAAGGAAGGCCCAGACTGCAACCATGAGATGGGACCACCACAGGTAAGGTTTGCTTGAGAGATGCCTTGATCTGGCGGTCTTACAGAGAGGGTTCGGGGTTCAAGGTGTAAGGGTTCTGGAGCCCATCACAACTTTCCGATCCGAGCATGGGCCTTGTTCTTGGGGTTTTGAGGCCTAAGGATCAGAGGCACATCGGTGCAACAAGGACAGCGATACCGTCGTGGCAAGGGCTAGGCCATTTTGCCGTAGTGTCTGCCATGAGCATGATCCTAGGTTCCGGCTGGACCTGGAATGGAAATAGACTTGGAAGTATGAGCCCAATCCCCCAGAGCCGGTAGCCCCTCGAATTCCGAACCCAAGACTCCCACAGCCCCTCTGCTGAGTGCTGTCCGAATCGAAGGGGCTTATTCAGGGTTTAAGGATTGCTTCTACTAGCCAGGATCATGGCGAGGGCGGAGTGATCGTCGGGAAGATGGCTGGCCGGGTGTTCCTCGCCTCCTACCCCTAGACGATCCCCGCGCTCTAGCCTGTGCAGACCTGGGAGCCCCAAACCGCAAACCGCGTACCTTCCCCAACCCCAGCTCTTGCGTGTCACTGCCCCGGCCGTTGGCATTCAGCCTGCTGCCTTGATGCATCAAACGAGTCAAAGCTTCTGCTGCTGGCTTTGGCATTGCAGGCACAGAGAGTCGAGTTTACGGTTGTCAACCCACAAACAGTGTCTGCATTCACAAAGGCTAATAGTCGACGATGTCATCACAGCGGGGACTGCAATTCGCGAGCGGTGCGCCCAGTGCTTCCTGAAGTTAGCCATGCCAGTGCATCTCATTTGCGCAGGCTGGACCGTAGAGAAAGTACTCGCGAAGAGCGATGGAAACCTTTAAGCATGCTTGAGAATT